TACCAACTAATTAAAGCCATACCTGGTATAAATTCCACTTAAAAACGGGTAAAAAAAAAATATATTGGTAGAATTACCGACAATATGCTGGATAAAATAACAGAAATTCAACTAAAATAACATTATATTGTGTCAACGTTTCGCTCTGTAGGAGCTTTATCAATCCCCTGGAGAGCGAAACATTGCCACAACAAAATCCCACAACAGTACCACTTATATCCCTTTACAAAACCCAAACTACAATTAGGCACGAGGGAAAAAGTGTGGAAGTTGTGGGTTACTTACTTAACGTCGGGTTGTGAGTCACGTGTCATGGCCGCCTCAGCAGCGTTCATGTTGTTTATTAACCGACGGATTAAGAGGAGCTCCTGCAGGCGCTGAGGTAGATCTATCATCTCACTGTGACGGGAGAAATAGATGGATTGATCAACGCCAGGTAGAGTTGTGATAGACTGAGTTGTTGTGATAGACTGAGTTGTTGTGATAGACTGAGTTGTTGTGATAGACTGACTTGTTGTGATAGACTGACTTGTTGTGATAGACTGAGTTGTTGTGATAGACTGAGTTGTTGTGATAGACTGAGTTGTTGTGATAGACTGACTTGTTGTGATAGACTGAGTTGTTGTGATAGACTGGTTGTTGTGATAGACTGAGTTGTTGTGATAGACTGAGTTGTTGTGATAGACTGAGTTGTTGTGATAGACTGAGTTGTTGTGATAGACTGAGTTGTTGTGATAGACTGAGTTGTTTGATAGATGAGTTGTTGTGATAGATGATTTTTGTGATAGACTGAGTTGTTGTGATAGACTGAGTTGTTGTGATAGACTGAGTTGTTGTGATAGACTGGTTAGTTGTGATAGATGAGTTAGTTGTGATGACTGAGTTGTTGTGATAGACTGTGTTGTTGTGATGACTGTTGTTGTAAGACTGATTTGTTGTGATAGCTGAAGTTAGTTGTGATAGACTGAGTTGTTGTGATAGACTGATGTTGTTGTGATAGACTGAGTTGTTGTGATAGACTGAGTTGTTGTGATAGACTGAGTTGTTGTGATAGACTGAGTTGTTGTGATAGACTGAGTTGTTGTGATAGACTGAGTTGTCGTGATAGACTGAGTTGTTGTGATAGACTGATGTTAGTTGTGATAGACTGAGTTGTTGTGATAGACTGATGTTGTTGTGATTAGGGCTGATGTTAGTTGTGATAGACTGAGTTGTTGTGATAGACTGAGTTGTTGTGATAGACTGAGTTGTTGTGATAGACTGATGTTAGTTGTGATAGACTGATGTTAGTTGTGATAGACTGAGTTGTTGTGATAGACTGATGTTAGTTGTGATAGACTGAGTTGTTGTGATAGACTGAGTTGTTGTGATAGACTGATGTTAGTTGTGATAGACTGATGTTAGTTGTGATAGACTGAGTTGTTGTGATAGACTGATGTTAGTTGTGATAGACTGAGTTGTTGTGATAGACTGATGTTAGTTGTGATAGACTGATGTTAGTTGTGATAGACTGATGTTAGTTGTGATAGACTGATGTTAGTTGTGATAGATTGAGTTGTTGTGATAGACTGAGTTGTTGTGATAGACTGAGTTGTTGTGATAGACTGAGTTGTTGTGATAGACTGAGTTGTTGTGATAGACTGAGTTGTTGTGATAGACTGAGTTGTTGTGATAGACTGACTTGTTGTGATAAACTGAGTTGTTGTGATAGACTGAGTTTAGTTGTTGTGATAGACTGAGTTGTTGTGATAGACTGAGTTTAGTTGTTGTGGTAGACTGATGTTAGTTGTGATAGACTGATGTTAGTTGTGATAGACTGATGTTAGTTGTGATAGACTGATGTTAGTTGTGATAGACTGATGTTAGTTGTGATAGACTGATGTTAGTTGTGATAGACTGATGTTAGTTGTGATAGACTGATGTTAGTTGTGATAGACTGATGTTAGTTGTGATAGACTGATGTTAGTTGTGATAGACTGATGTTAGTTGTGATAGACTGATTCACTGATTTAAAGTTTGATAAGATATTAAAAGGACCCCAATGTTAATATCAAGGGTACCAATGTTAATATGAAGGGTACCAGTGTTAATATCAAGGGTACCAATGTTAATATCAAGGGTACCAGTGTTAATATTAAGGGTACCAGTGTTAATATCAAGGGTACCAATGTTAATATCAAGGGTACCAGTGTTAATATCAAGGGTACCAGTGTTAATATGAAGGGTACCAATTGATGTGGACCCACAGTGACTCACATCTCCTGGATAGTGTGTCCAAGGATAGTGATCATCTCTACTGGATAGTGTGACCAGAGTGACTCACCTCTCCTGGGATAGTGTGACCCATGGATTAGTGACTCACCTCTGGATAGTGTGACCTCAGTGGACTACCTCTCTGGCGATTGAGTGGTGGACCCCAAGGATGATTGGATTGAGACTCACTCTCTGGATAGAGTGACCAATGGATAGTGACTCACCTCTCCTGGATAGTGTGACCCATGGATAGTGACTCACCTCTGGATAGTGTGACCCACAGTGACTCACCTCTCCTGGATAGTGCGACCCATGGATAGTGACTCACCTCTCCTGGATAGTGTGACCCCACAGTGACTCACCTCTCCTGGATAGTGACCCACAGTGACTCACCTCTCCTGGATAGTGTGACCCATGGATAGTGACTCACCTCTCCTGGATAGTGTGACCCAAGGATAGTGACTCACCTCTCCTGGATAGTGTGACCCACAGTGACTCACCTCTCCTGGATAGTGTGACCCACAGTGACTCACCTCTCCTGGATAGTGTGACCCATGGATAACATCAGTAGTGACGTCATCAGCATCAGGCAGCACCAACGTGCCATTCTTAGTTTGAACATAATAAATAAAATACATTAGAAATTCCATGATAATTTATATTAATAATACCAAAAAGTGTCTTACAACTATTAAAAATTATTAAAATATAGAATTTATTATTAATGTTATAAAAATATACATTATAATGGCATATAAACATTATTATAAACTATAAATATTGATTATAATTTTGTATCTATGATTATACAAATTATAACAAATTAAGGAGGTTAATTATGGTTTTAATTGACAAAAAGCACCAGGAAAATTTTTAATTTTTTGAGATTCGTTTGTTTTTAAACTTTCATCCATAAATGTTCGAGAGTTGGGGGCCATAATTATGGGCTCCCGCAGCATAAATTACCATTTTTTAATTGTCTTAATGAGTGGGTTGTTTACATGGCGGAATTAGAGAAGAATTTCCAGTTAATGAATGTTAACTTTCTCCAGATTCGAACGCCAATGCCGCCATCTTTGTTGTTGACGTTGCCGCCGCCTACGGCAGTTGTCGTACCATCTATATTTATACAAATCGGTATTTATAGTTTAATTTCCAACGGATATACACCGCGATGTGTATTTCTCTTAGTGTATATATGGTGAGAGTTAAATATATATATTTTAGGGTTGAAAATATTCTTGTTTGGTGGTGAACAGGTGACGTGGAGCCTTAACGATCCTCGTGTAGTAGATAGGTTTTAAACCCCCATTGAGCATATGTACTTTTATTTACGTAAACATATTCTTTAATTCTTGTGTAAGAATGTGTAATTTTTATTATAAAAACAGCAACAAGCTGTGAATTACGATGCGTTGTTAAAAAATGGTGAAGGTTAGCGGCTTCTTCTCCACCTTCTCCTCCCTCACCCACATCCCTCACCACCTTCCATACCTCCTCCCTTCATTTCTCCCTCAACCTCCTCTCCCTCCACCATCGTCCCCATGAGAGAGTTGACAGAAACTCCATCACTTAATTATTTCTTGTGAATCACAAGTCTCAGGCAGCTGCGTCGCGTATATAGGGGCTGCCAACCGTACGAAGTAATAACAATTGTACGATACGTTGCTCCCGGCACTAATTTATTGGATATATATAATTTTTTTTAGTTTGTTGATGTCTTTGTTGTGTGTGTGTGTGTGTGTGTGTGTGTGTGTGTGTGTGTGTGTGTGTGTTGTGTAGTGGGTGTGAGTGTGTGTACTCACCTATTTGTGGTTGCAGGGGTCGAGTCACAGTCCTGGCCCGGCCTCTTCGCTGATTGCTACTAGGTCCTCTCTCTCCCTGCTCCATGAGCTCTATATACCTCGCCTTAAAATATGTTGTGGAGTTCCCGCCTCCACTACATCACTTTCTAGGGCTATTTCCTCGGCCTGATACTCTATGACTGAAGAAATATTCCTAAATCCCTTTGATTTCATCTGGTCTTCAACTTCAAATTGTGACTCTTGTGTATGTGTCACATTTCTGGAACATCCGTCTTTGTCCACCTCGTCTATTCCGCGCAGTATTTTATATGTCGTTAATCATGTCTCCCCTGGACCCTCCTGGCCTCCAGTGTCGTCAGGCCGATTTCCCTCAACCTTTTTCATAGGACAATCCGTAGCTCTGGGACTAGGGGCTCTTCGTTGCAAACTTTGCACTTTCTCTAATTTCTTGACGTGCCTTCTAGACTAGGTGTGTGGTTCCAAAAACTGGTGCCTGCATAAGAAGTATGGCCTGACGTAGATGTGTACTGAGTCTTAAACGAAACCTTACTGAGTTATCGGAACGCTATCCGTAGGTTTTGCCAGCGCACGTATGCTGCAGCAGTTATAGGTTTGATCCTGCGCCTCAGGAGGATATGCTCCGGTGTTATACTCACCCAGATCTTTTTCCTTGAGTGAGGTTTTTTTTTGGGCAGGACAGGACTTTGGCCATCTAAACTATATTGTGTCTCGGTCTTCTTTGCCTTCCACAATCTTCATGACTTTGCATTTGGCAGGGTTAAATTCAAGGAGCCAGTTGCTGGACCAGGCTTGTAGCCTGTCCAAGTCTCTTTGTAGTCCTGCCTGATCTCATCGATTGATTTATTCTCATTACTTCGCTCATCTGCAAACTAAGGAAACTTCTGAGTCTATCCCTTCGTTATGTCTGTTTCACGTATACCAAGAACGCACTGGTCTAGGGACCTGACCCCTGTGGAACCCCGCTTGTACAGGCGCCCACTCTGAACCTCGTCGCGTACCATGACTCGTTGTTGCCTCCCTGTCAGATATTCTCTGATCATTGCAGTGCATTTCTGTTATGTGGGCCTGATCCTCTAGCTTTTGCAGTAACCTTCTTGTGAGGAAGACGTGTCGGAGGCCTTATTGCAGTCCACCAATAATTTACGCAGTCGAATCCACCCCTCTCTCTCTTGTCGTACTTCTGTCACCTTGTCATAAAACTCTAGTAGGTTTGAGACCAGGATTTTCCTTCCCTGAAACCGTGCGGGATGTCAATTATACACTTGTTCTTTCAGGTGCTCCACCACTTCTCCTGATGATTTCTCCATGACCTTGCATTACTATACACGTTAGTGATACAGGTCTTTAGTTTAGTGCCTCATGTATGTTCTCCCTTTTTAAAAAATTGGGACTACATTTGCCATTTTCCATACCTCAGGGAGTTGCCCAGTTTCAATATGATGTGTTGAAGATCTTTGTTAATGGCTCACTCTATATCTCTGACTCCCTCTTTAAGGACCCATAGGAGAGATGTTGTCTTGTCCCACTGCCTTTGAGGTGTCAAGTGTTCGCATAGCAGCTTCTTCACCTCCACTCCTTGGTTATATGTACCTCATCCTGCCAATTGCTGGTGTGCCCCCTGTTCAGATTTCCTTTGGAGTCTTATGGTGTCCCCACTGTAAATACCTCTTTAAATCTTGTGTTGAGCTCCTGACATACTCTCGGTCGTTTCTTGTTTTTGGAATTCCCCAATCACCTTCCTCATCTGATTACTGGTCCTTGACTGTGATTTCCTCCTGATGTGGCTGTACAAACTGCTTGGGTCAGTCTTTACTTTTGATGCTTTGTCATTTTATATTGCTTGAGCCTCCCTTCTTATCTGTGCATATTCGTTTCGGGCTCTATCGGTAATTTTCTTTGTTTTTCATGAGTTCTCTGGTCTTCTGTACCTTTTCCATTCCTCTAGTTACACCTAGTTTTTGACTTACCTACATCCTTTGGGTGAACCAAGGACTCGTTCTGTTTCTTTCCCATTATTTCTGTTACCTTGGAACAAAACTCTCCTCTGCCTCCTTGCATTTTGTATTGCCACATATTCCATATTTTTGTACTGGTTTCTCTGCAGTTCCCTCTCCACTGAAGTCTTGAAAACAAGTTCCTCTGCATGAGTAAGTTCCCCCTTTTGTAGTTTGGTTTTTTCCCGCCTATTCCTGTACTCTTCCACTTGGAGCGCAACTATGTAGTCGAAGCACAGAACCACATGATCACTGGCTCCCAGGGGCCTTTTCATTACATGATATCCCGATGTCAGAACTACTCAAGGTGAATCAAGGTCCAGTCTTGCTGGTTCATCCTCTCCTCTCTCTCTGTTGTGTCTCTATACATGTTGATGAATGAGTTTTCAGTTACCCCATCCTTCCTCTTGGCTCTCAATATTTCGGGACCCCCATGGGGCTCCAGCGTTTTCACGGTCAATCTCTTGTGTTGAAAATCAACCCATAACTAGTAAACTTGGCTCCCCCCATGTGTGACTCTCCTGGCCTCCTCGGCTAGTGTGTCGATCATTGCTTCTGTTGCTCTCATCGTATTTCTTCTCTTGGGCTCCTGCTAGTCTGTGGTTGGTTTTTACTTACTGCATTATCACTTATGTCATCAAAATCTGGAATTTGTTGTACTAGTTGTCCTTTCGCCCGTGCCATCCATTCCTTCCATGTTCTCAACAAACTCCTCTGGTTTTTACTGAGCAGTTGCAACTCCTCCTCCCCCTCTCCTCCCTCTGTCTTTCCGAGGAAATATTGATATCCAGATGAGAAGATGGAATCTGCGTTATTATTCTGGTGAGTTTTTGTTTCTGTGAGTGCTATTATGTATGGGGATGTCTCCTTGATTCACTTTCGTGCCAATCCTATACTAGTTTTTTATTCCATCTGCATTTGTAATACCACACCTTCAACTTCTTTTCTAAGATGTGGTCTGGGAGGTATATTGGGGTTGGGGAAGTGGGAGACCTGGGTAAGGAACTATGGGTTGTGCTGTCGGGGTGACGTTTGTAATGTAGTGGAGTGGGGGCATTGGATGTGGCCCTGGGTTGTTTTGTTTAGAGTGTTTGGTTGCATGGGGTTGACCTGGTTGGGAGGCTTCTATAGGTAGTTGTGAGGGAGGCTTGTAATTGATATTCTTCCTGGGTCTGGGAATCTCCTGTCTGTCTTCTCCATCCCTCTCTTTCCTTCTTTTGCCTTTGTACCATTCCTCAGTTTCTGCTTTCTTCTTGTGTTCACTGTCGCGGTTCAAGATACACCTTTGTATGCCGGCATGTCTTAATCGTGCTTTTCTGCAGGGATCTGGTCCGAGTCGCTTTGCCTTGAAGGTCATTTTCACTGCGCCGGGTTCTTGTTTTTTTACAAAACCCCCTATCTCCGAAAATTTTCCAGCTGGGTCATGT